TTAATATTTAAACTAATTGTTTTAACACTAATCAACAGAACTACTAAGGTACACCTAGATTATCAGCCTAGATTATCAATTTAAATGGAAACAATATGCATATACCCTTTTCCCAATCTCAAAAAAATAATCTTAGGATAATAAAAATGTATTGTTATCTCCACCATCCTTGATACTTGTGGAATGTTTATGAATGAGCAGAAGCCAACAATACCAAATCTATTAATTGGACTCTGCAATCATTTCTTTTCAATGAGGAACTGCTACAGAAGGGAACTTTGCCCCAGATCACATGGCTGGTAAATGGTAGAGCCAGGCTTCAGGTAAGGTGTTCTGCTCTAAGGGATTACAACAAATGGCAAAGCTATTGCTTATTGGCCCTACCAGTGTGACCTGCATGTCTCAGTGGTACCCATCAGTGAATGTAAATGCGGTCACACCTAGAGATGGGTCCCTCTCCATAACTACAATAGTTCCAAAGCCTCCTGAAGTCTGATTCTTTCTATGAATGATTTCCCCCCAAAAATTTTTTTTTCTTTCATAATTGGGTCCCTTATAAACCTGGAACATGCCTAGCACTGTAGGGCCTCAATACATATTTATTGAATGATTCTATTAGTGGCCTCTGGCCCCACTAGTCGATGGTCCCAGGTAAGATCAGATACTCTGTGGGTCCTTCAGTAGGGTGGAGGCAGGCACTGGAAGAAGATAATAGTGATGTACCATCAGTGTGCTCCTGAGTCTCTCTTCTTGGGAGGTACACAGCTGACCTCTATTGCCAGGCTCTGGGCATCTAGATCTCCTCTCTTTGTCTTTCTCTCTGGGAGGGAACTGTACCTCTTTTCTTTTATCTACTACTTTCCATGAGGACCCCAAAGACAGCTGACAGTTTGGCATTGATTGATGCCATGGCTCTTTTCAGTAACAGCCACGTCATATGGAAACCACCAAGTCCCATTGTAGCTGGAATAGCTCTCTACCTGTCTTCGTGCCAAATCTGAATCCGCAGGCTCATTCCTGCTTCCTTCCTTTGCCCTTCTCCCCTCTTCCTCTCTCCCTCTCACTTGTAGTAATCCCCCACCCGCCCACCCCTACTGGCCGTTTCTCATCACTTTTTTTCCCAGGGATCTTCTTTCCTTCCCATTGTTCTCTCTTGGTGCATTGGAGAATCTAAAATTCAATTAGCTAGAGAATTCTACTTTCTTCCCACACTGTTCCTGAGTCTTATTCACATCCTCGGATGTGGTTGAGCAACCAGCTTACTGCCCAGGGCAATCAAGGAATACTGTTCAGAGTACATGAAAGAGGATTATATGGGAAGGGCACTCAACTTCTCTCAGTGCTGGCCAAGTCGATGTACCCTATTAAAACTACAGCATTTTTTTTTTTAAACTTCACCATTCATTAGAATTACCAGAAAGCTTGTTCAAACAGATTGTTGGACCTCACCACCAGCATTTCTGATTCTGTAGGTGGTGGGGTGGGGCAAAGATTTGCATTGCTAACAAGATGATAACTTAGGCTGTTGGCCTAGGGACACACTGTGAGAACTGAAGCCCAGAGTGGTTTCAATGCTCTAGATTGGATTGGTTTCGGGAGAAAAGTTAATGCTACTAATTTTTCAGTTTCTGATTGTTCTCAGTAGGAAGAAATCCAAAACCAAATATTCCAGTTATCTGTTCAAATCAATATGAAAGGCAATTGTTGATGGAGTGTGTCAATGTTCTATTCAACAGAGAATCCCATGACTTGGTGAAAAGTATTATACAACTTTTAGGAAGGTCTTTACAGTAACCCTGTGAGGAAGTTATACTAAGTCAACCACTCAATGGTATGAGTGCCCTTCACCTGGGTAAAGTAGGGGTTTTGGTTTGCAGATTTCTGTACATCATTCATAACTGAACTGGGGCCAATTCAGAATAAAATAATCATTACTCAGTTGAGAGATTCACACAGAAGCTTCCCAAAAGGAGTCAATGGTGAATTAACTAAGCACAGATTAATGTCAATTTAAGCCAAGGCCCAAAGAGAAATTTGCCTGCGCTCATGAACTTCATTTGCTTCTCTTTGGATCACCATTTCATATGCCTACAACCCCACTGCTTTCCTAGAAAAGGGGATGAAGGATTTACAATGGGTAACTGAGGCAAAGATTCTGGGCTGGTAAGTTAAAACAGGAGTCCTATTAGCAGAGAGAGCTCTTTCTTTCTTGACCTTGACAGTTATTTTAAACAATCATTTCCTACTTGGTTTGCTCTGATGTTTCCTTTTGATTCCAGGCAGGTAATGCCTTGTGGGCAAGAGTTCCAGGGAATTGGTTTGTCCTTTTCAAGGTATTGTAACTGGTGAGATGATGTTAGGTTGTCCCAATATTGGTGATATTAAATCTGATTGTGTGGTTAAATGGTATCTAACAGACTTCTCCACTGTAAAGTTACTACACTGAGTGGCCAGATTATTATGATCTCTGAACACATAATAATCTGGCCATTCAGTATGTGTGGGTAAAATATTAAAGGCCTGGTGCATGAATTTGTGCATGGATGGGGTCTGGCCAGCCTGGCCAGGGGGAGGAGAAATGGGCGGTTGGCCAGCCTGCTGGTCAAACTCCTGGTCAAGGGGACAATTTGCATATTAGCCTTTTATTATATAGGATATACATTGAGTGGCCAGATGATTATGCATTCAGAGATCATAATCATCTGGCCGCTCAGTGTATTTTTCCAATTTTAAATGACATTAATTTTAAATGACACAAACTTAAGCAATAACATAGGTGAACAAAATCTACTAAAGAGTCCCTTGTTTCTATAGATGAACTCTTTGCCTCTCTGTACTTGAACCTTTTCCAGCTTTTTAATGATTAGAGGGAAATTTTGAGGTAGAAGGTATGTTAGATTGCATCGGGTGGCAAGAGATGATTTTTATGTGCTGCCCATCTGTATTACTTAGTAACAAAGGCTTTCCAATATCCATCATCTCTCCAACCTTCCAAGTGAGTTACATGTTATTGAGTCAGCTCCCAAATCTGAATGAGTGATGTTCAATGTCCTGTCCATAACTGCCTTGTTCAGCTCCTGTGGACTCATGCTATGGCTTCTTTTAGGAGTCAATGTCTCTCATATTTGGTTTTCTTCCTTTCCTGCTGCCTTCTATTAATCTCAGCATCATTGTCTTTTCAAAAGAACCCTGCCTTGTCATGATGGACTCAGAGTAGGACAACCTCAGTACTCTCTGACTCCATGAAGTAATAAGGCTCAGTTAGGTGCTAGCCTGTCTTGAAAATTTCAAATAGTAGCTATTTTTTTCCTCTCTATAGAGAAGGAGGAAGAGGAGGAGGAGAAGGAGGAGGAGGAGGAAGAGGAGGAAGAGGAAGAGGAGGAAGAGGAGGAAGAGGAGGAAGTGGAGGAGGAGGAGGAGGAGTAGGAGTAGGAGGAGGCCAATGTGGCTCAAACCAGGAGGTCATAGTTTGATTCTTGTTTCAGGGTACATGCCAGGGTTGTGGGCTGGATCTCCAATAGGGAGCATGCAGGAGGCAGCCAATCAATGATTCTCTCCCATCATTCGGGTTTCTATATATATATATCCCTGTCACTCTTCCTTCTACTCTGAAATCAATGAAAATATATTTTAAAAGAAGAAGAAGAAGATAGGGAAGGTCTTTGTTTCACAGTATTTGGCAGGCCATAATATAGAGTAATTTAGTAGCATTTAAAAAAGTCACATGTATTTTTTAAAAAAGTACATTTTATTGATTTTTTTACAGAGAGGAAGGGAGAGAGATAGAGAGTTAGAAACATCGATCAGCTGTCTCCTGCACCCCCCTACTGGGGATGTGCCCCAAACCAAGGTACATGGCCTTGACTGGAATTGAACCTGGGACCTTTCAGTCTGCAGGCTGACACTCTATCCACTAAGCCAAACTGGTTTTGGTAAGTCACATGTAGTTTTATAGTTGCCTGCTTCTCTTCATTAAAAATTACTATGGAATATTCATTTATAGCACTGACAACAATTTTCTTTTAAATTATATTTTAAAATATGGAGTAAAACAAGTAAGTCAATTTAGAGAAGTTGAAAGGACAGAGAAAAACTAGATATGGAGATAAGAAGATAACACAGGAATTGCTTAAGTTTGGGAAATTCCGAGTTTGAAACTTGGAGGTCAAAAACCTTAAAGGAAATTGACACTCTGCCTATCCAATTGTCCACAGCGCTCCTGATGGAAACTCCAGGTGGCAGGTAGGGGATGATGCTGGCCCAAAATAGAACAGGCCCAAAGGAGGCCTGGGAAGACTTAAACCTGTTCAAGAGTTTAGGTGTAGGCTTCCAGGTACAGGCTTCGGACCCACCTCCTTCCTGTCCTCCACCGCTCACTAGACCTAGACTTGGGGAAGTGCTTCACCTTCTCTAAGCCTCAGCTGTCTCATTCTTGCGATGGGTGGTAATAAGCGGTGCATAGCTCACACCTTTCTTAAGACCATGAACACAGGCGTATAACACATGCAGTGTTCGGCATGTGTTAGCAAACCAGGCTATTACCCTGAGTCATTTTTCTTTTGTGGGGACAGTGGCAGGGCACGTGGAAAACGACACAGGGATTTTTCTCCCATCCCTGCTTTTTGGAATCCCATGGGTGCAGCCCAGGAGGTGGTGGCATACCTGCCATTATGAGGTCACCCTTCCGAAGGCCAGGAGGGGACCTCGCCCCAGGCAAAGAGGGATGCGGATGCAGGTGGCGGGAACGCGGGCAGAAGCGCCGTCCGGGCCCTGCACCCTGCAGCCCCGGTGCACCCTGGAGCCCTGTTCATCCTGGGAGCCCAGAGGCAGGAGCTGGGGTCTTAGAGGGCCTGGACTCAAGTAGCGCTCCTCGAACCCGGCCCCAAGCGCCCCACCCCCAGAACGCGCCAGGTGCCTGCGCATGCGTCCCGGCGTCCCCCTTCTGTTTGGCCGTTTCCATGGCTACGAATCAGCTCCGTGAGGGGTCCGGGAGCAAGAAAATGAAGCTCAAGAGCCTCCTGCTCCGTTATTACCCGCCAGGTACGGGCGGGTGCCCTCCGCCCTCGCGTGGGACCCGGACTCCGGCTCTGGGCGCTGGGCGGGTGGGCGGTGAAGCGGGTGCGGGGACCCCGAGGGTGGCGCAGGGCTGGAAGCAGGGCGCTCCTCAGCATCCTCACTCTTTCAGATCCTGGGCTCTGTTCCTCCAAACTTTTATAAGGAGTCTCTTAGGGAGTCTTTGAACTTGTAAGTTGCTGAGTTGTGCTTTCTGATTAGTTAGGAGTGTGGCCGATGGGGGGGGGGTGGGGGAGGGGGGAGAGGGTTGCGGGAGGGAGGAGGGGGGTGTGTGGGGGGGTGGCGATGGGTGATGTCCTGGGACATTGGTCTCTGCAAGGGCAGACATAGACAAAGGCCTCATGGGGTTTTATGGTCCAGGCACGGTGTGTTGAGTATGAAAAGAAAAATGTCTGCTCAGTATACATTACTTAAGTGACTGCTGTGCCCAGGTGCTTTGCGCTCCCTGCCCTGGGGCCTTAAAGAAGGTCTCAGTGAGTTGATGAAATAAGCCCAGAGTGCTGTAGATAAACTTGCCTAGTTCTCCTTTTTTTTTTTTTTTTTTTTTAACAGGTGAGGACATGGTCGCCTTTACAGAATATTTGAAGTCCACTGGTCACCCAGCTTGTTAGGGACAGAAACAGGAGCCGAGTTTTTGGCTTTTAATTCAGAGCTCACTTTAAGAAAAATATAAAGTAAAAAGTACGAAATCCTTGCCCCAAGGCTGTAGATGACCATGCATACCTGCCCAATGTAAAGCTCAGGTCTCTGGCAAGCGGGGGCCTGGACAGCCACTTCTCCAGTGGGAAGTCAACATTGGTAGGGAAGACATTCACTTTCTCCCTCTCAGAATTCCAATTAAAGCACCAGGACAAGGCTCTAGATAGGAGAGGTAGTAATGGGAAATGTTAAGTTACGATGAATGGCTTGTTCTCTTTAAGCATTCCACCACCTCATGGTGGCTGTGCTTGCACAGAGTCTGGGGCTGGTGCCCACAAATAGAATGATAAATGAATGTCTTGCTTTCATTCCTTTGCTGTGGAGTGTAGGTCAAGGTTGTGAGCTCTGGAATCAGAACTACTTTCACCCTGTAAAAATTCAGTGACCTGGACAATTTGTTTTGATCTGTTGAGCTGTCAGACGGTGATAATGGCACCCAGGTCTGCTGGCCCTTCCATTTATCTCCCTTTCTGCAGAGTACACCTCCTTGAAAGAATGTTGTTTTCAATTTCTCTTCTCCCTTCTGTCTTGAACGTACTTCTATTCTGCATTCGTCTTCATTGTTCCACTGAAACTGCTCTTTTCAAGGTCCCCAATGACTGCCAGCGTGGCTGAATCTCTGGCTGCATCTCAGTCTTTGCCATTTTGGACCTGACAGTAGCTTTGGACCCATCTGTTCATTCTGCCCTCCTTTGGCTTCCAGGACACACTGTTTTATTTCCTGCCTCACTGCCACTCCTTGGTCCATCTTGGCAGTTCCTTTTTTCTTTTTCCTAATCTTAATGATGGAGTGTCCCAGAGCTCTGTCCTTGGCTTTCTCTATCTATACACATATGCTAGGTCACCTCATCTATTCTCAAGGCTTACAGACCACCCTGAGTAGTCCTGACTACCTAACTGCCCACCCGGTTCTTTATATTAGATGTCCAATGCGCATTGTATATGGGCCTCTGTGGTCTTCCTCATCTAAGTCTCCATTTTTCCACTACAGCTCACACCAAAACCTTGGACTCACCCTTGCACACATGTGGTCCAGTTGCAAACCCTGCCAGCTCACCTTCAAAATACAGTCATTCACTGCTTCACAAGGAGATACATTCTGATAAATGTGTTCTTAGGTGATTTTGTTGTGTGACCATCACAGAGTGCATCTACACAAACCTGGATAGTCTAATCTACTACACACCTAGGCAATATGGTACAGTCTATTGCTCCTAGGCCACTGTCTTCACAGCATATTACCGTACAAAACCACAAAAGTTTAAATCAAGCACAAGAGAACATGATGCAATCAAGAAACATGGTAAACACAGATGTATGAAACTACTGCTGGCACAACACAGTGTACTATTTTACAGCAAAAGCTTTTTTTTAATTTAAATAGGAAGAGTACATTCTAAAATAATAATGAAAGTGCAGCCAATACATAAGCCAAGCCAGTATCAGAGCCATTTATTATTATTACCAAGTATTTTGTACTGTACATACTACACTTTTGTACAACTGGCAGCCAGTATATGTGTTTGCACCAGCATCACCACAAACGTGTGAGAAATGCATTGTTCTACAACATTACAATGGCTATGACGTTACTAGGCAATAGGAATTTTCCAGCTCCATTATAATCTTACTGGAGGCCTGGTGCATAAATTTGTGCATGGGTGGGGTCCCTCCCTTTAGCCAGGAATTGAGGCTGATGGGGGCCATCTTGCCCAGTCCTGATTGGGGCTGATCGGAGCTGGTGGGTGGTGGTGGTGGGGGAGGGACTGTGGGAGGTTGGCCAGCCAAGGGGAGGGACCTCCGGAAGTTGGCTGTGGGAGTGCAACTGACCACCAGGGGGCAGCTCCTTTATTGAGTGTCTGCCCCCTGGTGGTCAGTGCACATCATAGTGACCCATTAACTGATCATTCAGTCTGTTGTAATGGTCGCTTAGGCTTTTATATACCGTATATAGATAGATGGGTCCACCTTCATATGTGCGGTCTAAAACATTATTATATGGTGCATGACTGGACAGAATTTAGCAACTTCCCACAACCATGGCTGACATTCCCTTTATTGCTAGAGTTTCTTGCCCCATTTTAGTTTATTTTCAACACAGCAGCAGGGTGACACTATTAGAACATGAATTTGCTTATGTCACTCTTGGCCCTCCAACAGCTTTTCATTTCACTTTAAGTGAAAGAACCATGATCTCTGAGGCCCTGCAAGATCCTTCTCTGCCTTTGCCTCCCTGACTTCATCTTGCTCCCTGGTTCAGACACACTACTTTCCTTGGATACACCTATTGTACCCCCCACTAGATCTCTGTAGTTGCTGTTATTTATTTAGCATGGAATCAGTTCCCCTGGATATCTGTAAGCCAGCACACTTCCAACTTTTCAAGATATTCCATAGCTCATTCCCAGATTTATCTTTTCTTAGCATTACCTCAATTTAGCATCATTTTACTTATTTATCTTAGTCTCACCAACTAAAATAAAAGCTTTATGTCTGTTTTGTCTATTGCCATACTCTAGCACCTAGAATTGAGCATGGTGAATAAATGAGCTCTTAAGTATTTGTTGAATAAATGAATGGGTTTAATGAGATGATGTGTGTTAAGTAGCATGCCTAGAACTCTGCCTGAACTGTAAATGGATTGTGTAGTGATCTCCCAGGTCCGCTTCAACTCTAAAAGTCCAGGGTTCTAATGTAATCTCAGATTCCAGTGAGGCTTTAGAGCCATGCTTTCAACTGTTGCCTTAATGATTATCTTCTAATTAGGACATAACACTTGGCATCTGGACACAATTTCTGAATTCCAATCTTTGGTGAGCCACGTATGATATGCAGATTTCCAAGCTGCTACTGAATAGCAGGTGGGTGGTGCAATAACATTATCTATTAGGGAAAAATCGCTCCCCACTGAGTCATCCCCATGCCACCTTTATCCCTTCGGTCTATAGAGCAATTTTTCTTCACCTCCTAATTCTCTCATTTCAGTCCTCCCACATTCTTTTGACTAATCAGGAGCATTGTCTTGTTGGCATCCATTGAATGATCCTTCTCCCTACTTAAATTCCTGATGACTAAAGACAGAACAGCAACATGACTAATTAAACATAAGGCATTTCCTTTCTATCTTGGTCACATTAATTAATTAATCAATCAATTAATTCACTGGAAGAGTAGGTATTGAATACATGCTTTTCTTTTTTTCTATTTAAAATATATTTTATTGATTTTGTACAGAGAGGAAGGGAGAGAGATAGAAAGCCAGAAACATCGATGAGAGAGAGTCATCAATCAGCTGCCTCTTTGCACACCCCCTATTGGGGATATGCCCACAACCAAGGTACATGCCCTTGACCGGAATTAAACCCGGGTCCCTTCAGTCCCCAAGCCGACGCTCTATCCATTGAGCCAAACCGGTCTTGGCTGAATACATGCTTTTCAACTGACTCAGTTATGACAGCTTTTGTCTTTTATTGATCAGGTACAAGTCCTTAGGAGAAGGAGTGATAAATATTAATTAAACTGATTAATATTCAGGCCACTTATAGGTTTCTGTTGACTGAATATGTCCCGGGTAAGGACTACTGACACCTTATGGAAGCTTGGCCTTTTAGTACATTGCAGAATTTGGGGGGGGTAGTGGCTCCTTACCTGTTTTGGGAATTATATCAATTGGATAATGATTTGCAACTAGAGGGAGGTCAGGAATATTTATACTGTAGGAAACATTACTGAGGAACTACATGTATTCAGAAGCATCTTTGTATATATCTTTAAAATCATCTTCTTTGCAGCCTCTCTCTTTGGAGGTCAGTGATCATGGGAGAGGGACTATACTGCCTGATGTTTGTCACAATGGGAATGTCAATGTACATGTTTTATATTTTATTCTTCATTTTTGAGATTCCTTCTTTTCCCTTTTCAGCTGTTGAGTTTCACATCATGCTTAAAATGTCAACTACAAACACTAAGATAAAACTATATTCTATTATTTAGACCATTTTATAATTTATTCTTAATTTTAAAAATTTCTAATCAGCTTAGAATACATTTTTGTACACTGTGTGGTAGAATTATAGTTTTATTACTTTTTCAAAATTCAGCTGATTATGAAATAATTATTTATTGAACAAACCATTCTTTTCCAATTAATTTGAAATACTACCTTCACTTTATTTTTAAAATAAAGGGATTTCTCATTTAAAGGTGATTCTATTATACATCTAATTTTGCATCAGAACCATATTTTATTGTGACATAGTTTATTATAATATAAATTTTCAAATCCCAAATATAAAATAATAATAATTACTTTAACTCCATAGATTAATTTGACATCTGTTAATATTGAATTATGGTTTATAACTATGACCTGCAAATTGTAGGGCCTCTTGAACCTCCTTAAAATGGGGCCTCCAGGCCAAATCATTTTCCATAATAACAATAAGATATCATTTACTTTCCCCCCTGCATTGACATTTGCACTAATGGTGCAGAAACAGGGAAAGATGAAACACCTGGTACCTTAGAACAAATCAAGGCAATGGCCGCAGACTCGGATAGTGGTCCTCTGCTCCTCACAGATGCGCGCTTGCTTTAGTTCCAGTGGCAGGTGAGTTTTCTGAGGCCTTGCAATGCGTTCCTGGTCTGCTTAGTGTTCCTGGTGCTGCTAGAGCTTTTTCCTGCTCCATTCCTGCTGGTGCCACCTGCAGTGGCAGAGCTATATCCCAATATTCCTGCTCTCACTGGGTGACCTGGGGATGGGGGACGAACCCTGGGCCTGGTTATGCCACAGCTCAAATACAGAGACACATTGCGTTGGCACTTGGTGGTAGAGCAACATCTGGGATATCCTAGGACTTCATTGCTGCTCCCTTTGGAAGTGGATGAAACTGCCTACCAACGGCCTGATTGTGAAGTAGGGTATGGAAGACCCTGAGGCTTCCCTAGCATTGCTTTAGTCTAGACACACTGGATGGCTCCCTGGACCCAGCAGAGGAGCACATGTTGAGAAAACCTGGGACTTTTTGCTGGGTCTGCTGCAGGCAGACTAATGGAAACCGGATCAGCCCAGGATTTCCCTAGTGGGTGAACTCTCACTGGGGCCCCAGCTGTGGAGCAGAGTTTTAGGGCTCCCTATTAGTTTTTTGTATACCTTCCCTTCTTGTGGACTTTTGGCCTAGTAAGCAAGTTGCTGTGGTTGTGGTATGGTTTGTGTTGTTGTTTGGTTTTTGTTGTCTCTGCCTTTTGGTGGTTCCAGGTGACACATTCTGTTGGTCTCCAGTTTGGGGATATAAGGTGATAAAAAGAAAATCTAGGGAATTTACCATATTGTCATTCCTTGAGTCTTGAGGCCTTTGGCCAGTCTACCTTCTTCTATACAACTCTCAATTATTTTATCCTTGCCTGTTGAATAATTTCAAGGGTATTTCATTGTATTTAGAGGAAAGACTAGGGAAAAGTGAATTTACATTATCTTGTTTTAGAATTAGACATCAGTGCATATGTTTTGAAAAATTCAAGCTATTGAGAAATAAAAATGATCAAGTTGTCAAAGTAGATTAACTTATGACATGAGTTATCATCATAAATGTTTTAAACATGTTTGTTTAATTTTATAGGAATTATGTTGGAATATGAGAAAAGTGGAGAATTGAAGACCAAATCCATAGATTTACTTGATCTCAGTCCCAGGTAAACTAGCTATGCAATGTGACATGTATTTCATATCCAGTTTTTATTTTTTTAATATTTTTATTGGAAAACCCTGACATAGGGTGACATATGGAGGAGCTGCATAAATTCAGACAATACACTGCTTTAAAAATGTTGTGTGGTGTGTGACTTCCGTTTGTTTCAGTGAGTTCTACTTGAGTGTCTTGTTGAATGAGGAGGTAGAAAATGGATCATTACTCTGCCCTTCCCTCCTACCCCCTAAATAGACCCTTTTAAATAAAAATAAGCCTTTTAGTTTAGAATAGTTTTAGAAAAGTTGTGAAGAGAAAGTTCCCACATACCCCATACTCAGTATCCCCTATTATTATCATCCTAGACATCCAGAAGTATGGTATATTTGTCAGAATCAATGAACCAGTATTGATGCATTATTATTTACTAAAGACTGTATTTTACTCAATTTTCCTTGGTTTTTGCCTAAACTTCTTTTTCTCTTCCAAGATCCCCTTCCAGGAGACCACATGACATTAGTCATGACATCTACTTGGTCTCCTCATGGCTGTGAGAGTATCTCAGATTTGCCTTCTTTTTGATGACCTTGACATTACTGAGGGGTACTAGTCATGACATTTTAAGAATATTACCAAGCCTGTTATTTTCTTAGTAGATAAACATTTCACATGGCTGACGGCATACAATCTTCCTCAATAATTGCCATGGGGTGGAGTTGGGAGAAATTAAGTTTTGCCTCTGAAACTTGTGTGCTCAGAGGAAATCCCCCTGCGAGATCATATTGCCAAAAATTCATTTCCGTTAGGACGTCTTATGCAAAACTTCATTTGAAGAGATAGAATCAGAATAGAGATTATTCCTGTGGGAGCCCACAGACAGATAAGGAGAAGCTGTTCTGAAAGGGAGAAGATAAAAGAGAACTAGTATAAAAATACTTCAATATGTGTTTTATCTAGTACCCCAGGAGCAATGAGTGATTTCCCACTGCCACTGTCCTTTTGCTTTGTCCTGATTAGTGGGGAGGGGAACAGAGTCTGTCCGCAAAGGGACTTCTCACATAGGAGACGAGCTGCTCTCTAGTTTTAGAATAAACCAAACAGTTCCTGGCTGGTGAGAGCTGCCACCAGGTCTGGAATCTATCTCAGTATGGGAACAGGTGTGGCTTGAATGGTAAGAGTTACGATTCCAGGTGCCTGGCACAGAGGACTCGGAAGGTATTTATTTAAAAAAAAAAAAAAAAAAAAAAGTAAACGGTGGCTAAGACAATGTTATTTAATTTCATCTACACCAATCTCGGTTTAATCTATTTTCAGGGAAGACAAGACCTCAGATCAAATCAAGCCTTTTTGCTAGTTTTGTAAAGGGAACACAGTATAGCTGTGTGTGGTTATGGCTGCAGGCAGAAAGCTCCATTGTTAGACATTCATTTTCTCAATCAGTAAATGATGTATTTGCACCTTCTCCATGTAAAGCTGTAGAACAGAGTCTAGGAGAGGCTATAAAGATGTGAATCATAATGCCCACTCTGTGGGCTTATTGTCTAGTTGGAGGAACAATTTTCATGAAACAGATGAACATCATGCGAGTGATGCAGATAAACTTGTAGGTGAGAGAATAACTTCCAGGTAGAGATTCAGGACAGTGCAGACTTATGTATAAAAAGTGTAGATCTTTTGGATGCTGTAGTCATCTGAAAGAGTCAATAAATGACTCAAAGTTTGTTTTAAAAAAATATGGGTCTTATTTCTAGTTCTGCCCAAGAATCTGGAAGTATTCTGCACATATACACACTTGCATTATATATGACATAGTGGGTTTACTATATTAGAAGATAACAATTAGAATAGGATCACAGTTGGGATATACTGATTAACCATCTGATTTCTTGAGCTCTCACAAGGAAATTTGTATTGATTCATCACATTTATTGGAAACTCCCAAAAGGCATTATGATGTTTTTAATGCTCATGAAAGTATAATTTTTTGATAACGAACTGTCTCAGATTTTATCAAAGGCATAATTATAAACTGTCTCTGGTTTATTTTCATTCCAAATACTCACTCTAATTCCAATAGGTTGTATTTCTTGAGAGCTGGGACCATGTCTTTTTACTCTTGCAGTGCATAACCCACAGTAGGTACTCAGAATAGAGATTATAGTAAAAGTTAATGGGGCCGGTAGTCTAGTAGCTCAGTGCCTTGCACAGAACTGGAGCTCAGGAAGTGTGCATTTAGGATGCTCATCAGAGTTTGGGTTTCTGGGAAGTGGATGCTGAGACAGAGGTCAGTGGTTACTGCTCAGTGACACCTGTGACAGACCAGAGGGTGAAGTGAGTGGGGCAGGAGGAGGCACATGCCATGATGATGCAGATTTCACAGTGGCTTCTGACAGCCTAAAAGGGGAGCTCCAGAGTTGAGCTTGCTCTTTAGGGGAGTTTCTCAGGCTTGTGCACTGCCCCTTTGCTCAGCCCTGGGCTGAGGGCCACCATGAAGAACAGGCCTTGAGCTCAAATGCTGAGACGGATCCTGGAGCAGCTCAGCTGGAGGCTGTCCATGAACTCATCACCCCTCGCAGCCAGGCCACTGGGCCTCATGGATCCGTGCGGAGTAGTGTGCATCTTTGACTCATGTTTTGCAAAATTACCCCATTTGGATGCTTTGCAGTTCATAGTCATTGATATTTGCCTTGATTTAATATAATTCTAGACTAGCAAAATTGACAAGAATTGGTATAGATTATTGGAAATCTGAGGAAAACCATGAATCTGCCCTTTTCAGACCAGTTCTCTTTTAGGGAAATCATGTTGTAGCCAATACCATAATCAATAATAATAATAAAAAAAAAACACCAAAAAAACAAAACAACAAGAACAACAACAACAAGACAACAGAGAAACCACAATCTAAAAAAAAAAAAAAAAGTAGTAATAAAAATCACCATTATGCTTTGAATGAATGTTTATTTTTGGTCAGGTTCTTTCTCTTTCCTTGAAAATATTTAAAGCTGACACTTTGGGTTGATGGGTTGGAAGAGATCAACCAACAACCAAAGCATTTGTATGCATATGTGCATAAGCCATGGACGCAGACAATAGGGTGATGGGGGCAGGTTAAAAGGAGTAAATGAGGGAAAAAAGGGGATATATATTTACTCCTTTTAACTTTCTGGACCTCAGGGTTTTTTTTTTAATGTTTGTTTTTCTTTTAATGCAAATGTAGTTATTATAAAAGTATTAAATTAAAAGGTTGTTACAGAATTAAGTGAGAGAACATATGTAAAGTGGAAAGAATAGTACTGCCAGGAGCATTCAATATAACTTCATTTAAAAGAAAAGGAGAGGAAAATATATAGAAGAAGGTCATGCTCAGACCAGGGTGCCCTTGGCCTTCTTTCGGTGAGCACGTCAGGATCTTTGCACACACTCTTCCCAGGGGAGAAGTCTCAGGAAGTGAAAATAGGTTCTTCCCAGCTGCTGCCACCCCTGCCACAATGCTCTTCCCCACAAGCCCCCCCCCCCCATCCTGAGATCTCTTGATAAAGATGATAGTGTTCTTGACATTTTATAAATGCTCTACTTTGTAAAAACAATGCAACTCTTCAGGTAATGAATGCAGGTGCGACCCTAGCACAGCAGAAATAACTTTCTTTTTGTGGATCTTAGTACTGATGTCAGTGCCCTGCTAGAAGAAATACAGAGAGCAGAGCCTCTAATCACAGCTTCACGATCACATCAGGTGGAACTTTTAATACAGAGACTGCAGGATAAGCTCAGACAGCACAGCGACCACAAGTTCGAACTTTTCAAGGTAATATGTGCGTTCAAAATACAAGGTGTAACTTCAATGAATTCGTTGATATCCTATTAATTTGAGGTGAAATGCAAATCTTGTTTTTTCTTCCCCTCAATGTCTCACACGTATTTGTTGAGTCTCAATGACTGTTTGTTGATTGAATAAAATGCAAACATTTATTTTTTGAAGTTTAATAAAGATTTGTAGTAAATATAGCTCTATTTATAATGATAAATTTAAAGGATTAATTTAAAGGAAGCTTTAAATTATGAAATAATTAAAGTTACTTTTTCATTTAGAGTAATATTAAGAAGTTGTGTTTCATAGTAAATCAATATTTCAGTAAACTATTTATTGATATTATTGATGTAAAACTTTTAATTTAATGGAAATATGCTTATTTTCCATAGTTTTTGATTATTCAATTAAAATATAACAAATTTAGTTATTTATTAGTTCAGGAACAGCTTATTTTTTTATTAACAACATCTTATATTATAGCTTCTTCTAGAATTGCTTCATATTAAAAATGACTTAATTTTGTATGATTTAAGTATAATTATAACAAAATATGATTATTATTTACATACTCAGCATATTCTATCTGATACAAAATATTAAAGCAGTCTTTTGTACTCTCATCCTTTCAATTTACTAAAAAAGGATGAGGTCATTCATGTAATATTTCTTTGTCCAGCAGGTGGCACTATTAAACTTCAAATAGGAGCTCTATAACTAGCCTGACCTTATGATTTATCATTCAAAGGGAACAATTTTGATAGTGAAAGGAAATGCTATTAATAGTAGTTATTCTCTGGTAATAGACATAACTTAGACTTTCCCAGCCTAATCTATCAGTCTGTCTGTAAACAGAATATCTAATTTGCCTATATTTATCCAATAAATATTACTCATTCACTATGTGCCAAATAATGTAGGGATTGAAAGATAAATAAGATACATCCTGACTCTAAAAGAACTTTATGATTAAAAAAGTACTAATACATTGTAAACATATTTAGTGTATTTTCTCTATAGACTGTTCATACATATGGTATTTACAAAACCATGTGTACTATGTTAAAGAAAATATTATAAATTAGTGGTATTTGATATCTTATTTAATAGCAATAATTTATCTTAAAGGCAAGTTGATGGAGAACACAGATTATGGTTTTGTTACTAACTACCAAATGTATTATTGATCATAATAATAGATGGTACAATATATTTTTTCTCATTTGTTCAGATATTGAATATTGTCCTTTTATTACATATAATTTTAAGATAAGCTTGCACATTTTTATTGGTCTGAAATTTAAAATTAATGAATTAAACTTACTTTTATTTGAGTTTAAAAATGGTATTTTCTTTCATTGAAGGTTCTCAGAGCACATATACTGCCATTGACTAATGTTGCACTGAATAAATCAGGCTCTTGGTAAGGTTCTCTATTTATTTAGAAAATAATAATTTTATTAGACTTCATTTTTTAGAACAGTTTCAGGTTCACAAGCAAAACTGAGCAGAACGTAAAGGGATTTCTCATATATCTCATGTTCACCTCCTACACCCTATAACCTTCCCCACTGTCAACAACCCCAGAGGCATACATTTGTTACAATCTATGAACCTACAGTGACACATCATTATCACTCAAAGTTCACAGTTTTCAATACGGTTCAATCTTGATTTTGTACATTCTATGGGTTGTCAAATGTATAATGACATATACCCACCACTATGGTATCACACAGCAGTTTTACTGCCCTAAAACTCTTATTTTTATTTGGTCTATATCTATATATTTCTATTTTTTATAATTTATAACATTCAAGGGGTAAACTTTTTAAAAGTAAAATTTGTATATATTTAAGGTGTACAATATGGTGATTTGGTATGCATAGTGAAATAATTGCTAATCAAACTAAGATATCATCTTATAGTTACCTTCTTTGTGTGTGAAGAAAGCACCTGATATTTTTTTTACATGTTTCCCATAATCAATATGGTATTATTAACTGTTGTCACACGCCTGTAGATTAGATATCCAGACTTATTCATCCTACATGATTGCAACTTTGTAATCTTGGACCAACATCTTCTCATTTCTCCCACTCTCCAGCTCCTGGTAATTCCTGTTCTACTCTCTGCTTCCATAAGTTTAACTTTTTTTTTTTTTTTTTAAGATTCCACATAGAATGAGATTATACAGAATTTGTCCTTCCCTATCTGTTTTTTTCACTTAGCATGATGTCGTCCATGTTCACTTTTGTTGTCACAATTGGCAGATTTCTTCTCTCTCATGGTTGAATTATATTTCATTGCATACATCACATTTTCTTTATCCATTCATCCCTTGACCAACACTTACATTGTTCCCCTTTCCGAGCTTTGGTGAATAAGCTGCAATGGACATGGGAGTGCAGATACCTATCTCTACCACATCCTTACTGCAGTTCCTTTGGATATATACACCCACTTCCAGGTAGATTCACATTGCAGTTCTAATTTTAATCTTGGGGGGAAAATCACCATAGTGTTTTCCATAATGACTGCACCAAAACATTCTAGGAAGAAAATGCCTAGGGGAGAATTGCCGAGAGTCTTTCCCAGCATCTAGAAGGGTTCAAAAATCTGGGAAAGGCACTCAGTGTAAATTATTCAAGAGTCCAGAGATGAAACATAATTTTGGAAGGCATTTTGGGGGGGCCAGAGAAAACTTAGCTAAAGAAACCAAGTTCTCCTGTCTCTCTGGACTCCTTGCTTTTTATTAACACAAATTGTCCTAAAGTAAAGTAGATATACATATCAAAGGCCAGGGTTTAGTATAAAGAATCCATTGTCAGATTTGGGGAAACTGCCTATGGCTGTTCAGGTGTTTGGCCAGCAGGAGGCAATAACATATAGATTGAAATACTCTCAGCTGTCTGGCAGCAAGCAATCACTTATGCATCCTTTTCAGGTTTGGGGAAATGCCTTCAGCCATTTCAGATGATTCAGCCCTGCTGACATGCTGTTATTGGCTTCTGGCAGAGAATCAAAGACATAGTGCCTTGTCTACCTTCCTGTTTATTTGAGTTTAGATATAAGAATCTGTCTTCACCTTGTATAATTACCACTTGACATTCAGACTCACCTTTCAACATTGTGCATTACTTTCTGTGTTAGAGAAATAGTGTCCCTCATAGAATATTTAAGAAATAACTAAGATACTATTATTTTACTTTAAAATATTAGAGGTCAATATATTACCCATTTATGTAGTAGAATAGTCATGTTAAAAATGGTTAAATATGAAGCATATATTTATTGAACACTTATTCATGTGCCAGTCATGGTGAACCACATGGTTAGAAGAACTAGCATGTATAGAATAAAAAATACAGTTCGTCAGAGAATGTGGATGGTGAGGGTGATTAAAGTCCCGGAGAGAGCCAGGGCTGCTGGCCTCGTGGACACGAGCAAAAGTTGAATTTTCCTTAAGGTTGCTAGAATGCCATTGGAAGAAGGTTAACAAAATAACGCCAATTTTGTTGAGGAAGACCAATGTGTGAGGACCATTTGTGAGGCAAAACCCATTCGAATATGGTTGTATTTGTTTAGGTAAGAAATGGAGACAATGGACGGGGTGAGATTGGCCATAGCAGGGACGTACTTGAAGCTTGGGGTAACAGCATTTACTAATAGATTGTGGGATGTGAGAGAAACTGAGAAATCAAAGGTGATACTAAGATTTTAGGGGCTGACCAACTGGAAGAATGATGCTACTTATTAATTAAGATATATTGGAATTTCTAAAAATGTTAGTGATTGTCATTATTTAGGTATACCTATTTTTATTATAAATCTGGCTATTGCCAGGATTACTCTTTATTTAGGGACTTCTTTTAGGTTTGGGGATAAAATTGGAAAGTTTCTAAGGCAAAGAACTTAAGACAAAGGACTTTTTGATCCTATTTTAACTGTTGGTTCTGTATACACAATTTTCATGGAAAAAGTATGAGAAATGGGGCTATAATCTTACAGGTGAGAAATGAGGTCTTATTAACACACAACTTTTCTCCCCTTGTGATTAATTGATATTCTTGTCTTAGCTTTATCACAGGAAGCTATGACCGAACCTGTAAAGTCTGGGACACTGAATCTGGAAAGGAACTTCTCACCCTCGACGGCCACAGGAACGTGGTGTATGCCATCGCATTCAACAACCCTTACGGGTAAAACCCACTCACTCACTCACTTCTTCCCTGTTAACCTATTGATTCACTTAATCAGCCCTTCCTCCATCTATCTTCAGGAGGGAAGGAGGAAGACAGAGAATGAAAATTTATTGAATGCCTGACATGTGCTTTTAAATACCACTTCCAGTGCTTAAAGGAGTTTGGAGACTGGCATTTCTGTCCTCAATAAAAAAATATAAAGTTCAACTCCCTTTCCCAGGATCACACAGTAGTAGAGAGGAGAGCCCAAGAGTTAAACCTCAAGGAGGGCTGGCTTACCCTTGCAGCTCTCTGACAGGCAGCCCACTGGTGTTTGTAGCACCGGCTGATGATTCTGGCGAATGTGCCATATACATTGATAAAGATGTTTACGTTGTTTAGAAGTTCATTTGCAGTCATACTGGGGAAAATATTGTGTATTGTAACATGCTAAGTAATAGTGCCAAATGCAATAGAAGAATTTTAAAGCCAAGCTGTTGTTCATGGAGTCAATAAACTACCAACGTTCTATATCTATCTTTCTGCAAGACATACGCCAATACCCATGATTCTATGCATGCTGGCAGCAGCTGCGCTAACCATGGGCATGCTTACCTTCTCTGCTCACTGGTTGGGTTTTAAGGTTACCAAGAGTTGGTCATATTTGTCTATGAATCTGCTTATGTTGGTTGTGCTTTCAGTTGTAATTATGTATTAATTAAAATTTGCTTATAACCAATGAAATGTGAATGTGAAAATGAAGCTGTTGTTTTCCATGAAGGCATAGAAAAGGTAAATATTGAAAAAACTTGCTAAATGAAGTTGTAGATGTGATCAATACAAAAATTGGAAAACACATTGTAAAAAATTGAACAAATTCTTTTTAAAAAATATATTTTATTGATTTTTTACAGAGAGGAAGGGAGAGAGATAGAGAGCCAGAAACATCGATGAAAGAGAAACATTGACCAGCTGCCTCCTGCACACCCCCGACCAGGGATGTGCCTGCAACGAATGTACATGCCCTTGACCGGAATCGAACCCAGGACCTTTCAGTCCGCAGACCAACACTCTACCACTGAGCCAAACCGGTTTCGGCAAAATTGAACAAATTCTTGCAGTCAGGTTGTTCTGCAAGTATTTTTAAGTTTAAGCTCTCATTCCATTTTAAAGAAAAAATGGGAAATTGATGGGGCCTGCCAGCTGGGGAGGGATTGCGTGAGGTTGGCCGTCCAGGGAGGGATCATGAGGGGGCTCCAGGGCGTGTCTGGCCCTCTCTCCCGGTTCCAATTGGCCAGACCCCAGCAGCAAGCTAACCTACTGGTCGGAATGTCTGCCCCCTGGTAGTCAGTGTGTATCATAGTGACTGGTCATGTGGTCGAACAAGTGGTTGACTGATCGGTCAGACACTTAGCGTATTACACTTTTATTATATAGGATTGTTAATTTTCTAAACTAAGTTTTTTATCATATCCATTGAGTAACTGGAACCTAAGTTTAGCTGCATGCTACTATGAATGCTAAATTTGTGAGACAGGGGCAGGTGAAAAAGAAAGATTTATTTATTCAAGTGCTGTTCACCTGAGAAAATGGGGGACTCTTGTCCAAAGCACATATCCACATCTCAGTGCAGGCATATATTTTTATAAGGAGGGAGAGGGAAAGCAGAACAACCAGGTCAAGGAAGGGTGTTTGAAAAGTTCTCTATGTGCAGAGCAACTGAATCTATTCTCATAAGGACCTCTAAACTGGTCAAGTCTAGTGTGCATTATCTGGTCTTTGTCCTCTTGGTTCTGCACCATCCTGTTCTTATAGATGAAGGTCAAAAATTATTTTGGAACTTGGATGACTGAAGGTCAGAGTTTGCATTTTCTGAAGTTAGTTCCTGGGATTTTTATATAAACACTAGAGTCCCAGTGCACGAATTCATGCACCAGTGGGGTCCCTCAGCCTGGCTTGTGGGATCAGACTAAAACCAGCTCTCTGACATTCCTTGAGGTGTCCTGGATTGCAAGAGGGCACAGGCCAGGCCAAGGGACCACACCGGTGCATGATCAGGATTGGGGAGGTACAGGAGAGGTTGGCCAGCTGGGGAGGGACTGCGGGAGGGCTCCAGGGAATGTCTGGCCCATCTTGCTCAGTCCTGATTGGCTGGATCCCAGCAGCGAGCTAACCTACCAGTTAGAGTGTCTGCCCCTGGTGGCCTGTACACATCATAGCGAGTGGTTGAGCAGTCTTAACATACCATTGGCATAGTACACTTTGATTGATTGAATAGCCAACTGGTTTACCGGACACTTAGCATATTAGGCTTTTATTATATTGGATGCTGTTTATCTACATAGTAGTCAGACTCAGCATTTACAGAAACAATGTCAAAAGAATGCTGGGGTAAGTTACAATTCCCCACTATTACAGTTGTACTAACTTGAAAAGTATTTTTAATCTTAAACATATATCTTTAATGTAAAATATTTAAAATGAAACAACCTGATGCCATTAAAAATTAGACCTTTATTCTGTTGCCAATGAAGCAGATATAGGTTTGCTTCTTGTTCTAAAAGTTAAGCAAATTTCTGAGCAGGTAGAGAGCCGTGTATTAATATCTTAATTCAGTGGGTCACTGAACTGAATTGAATTGGAGTTCAAAATCCACATTTTTTTTTTTTTTATCTTAGTGACAAAATTGCCACTGGGTCCTTTGATAAGACTTGTAAACTGTGGAGTGTAGAAACGGGAAAATGTTACCATACCTTTAGGGGTCATACAGCAGAAATAGTGAGTACATTTATTTTATTATTTTTTATGTTGTTGTTTGTTTTATGTTTCCATTCTTTTCTTTTGATAGATTTCATTTGTTTTTTTTAAGAGCAGTTTAGGTTCATAGCAAAGTTGAGGGGAAAGTAGAGAGATTTCACACATACTCCCAGTTCTCTTCCCTCCCCCCAACCCCCATGCAAATAGCTTGTCCCATTATTAATATCTTTCACAAGAGTGGTACCTTGCTTACAAATAATGAAACTATAATGACACATATTACTACTTCTTTTTAATATTCCATTATAAAAGTGGTGGTTCTATTTTTATAATTAATTAAAAAATTCTAACCAGTATTTTTATTCTCTATAAATTTTGTATAGTGGCATTGATATAATTTACAAACTACTCTAATTTTAATATCTTATAGATTCCTGAATTGACTAAGTAGACACATAATATAAGAAGTACATTAGTAGAGTAGCCAAATTGATTTTCTCTTTTCCTTTCTTCCTTCCTTCCATTCTTTCTTTCTTCATTTATATTTCTTTAGAGAACTGACTTGATTAGGGTTGATGAAATTCTTACGATAGTTTTTAAAATGATTTCTATATCTTGTAAAATAGACTGTTTTCTAGATGTCATTAAAACTCAAATTTGTATAAATAGTTTGATACTCTAAACAACTTTTACTTTAGTGTGCCCTTGTCCTTGGCCAATTCTTTGATACATCTTATAGCAATTAGTGAGATAATTGGCACCCTATGGAACAAGTGATAGTTTTTAAAAAAATAAACAAGGTATTTATTTTAGGAATAAAATGTATTTATACTTATTAAAATTCATTTTGAAACTTTTCTTTATAAAATTAACAATTTAAAATACTATATTTCTAAAAACCCTTTTAATTTCATGTAATCCAGGTGTGTTTATCATTCAATCCTCAAAGCACATTGGTGGCTACGGGAAGTATGGACACAATGGCCAAACTGTGGGACATTCAGAACGGAGAGGAAGTATTCACTTTAACTGTATGTTAACAGTGTTAATAATACCTTTTAGAGTTTTCCATTTTCGTCAGCCATTCCTTAGGATAAGTCCATTGTTTTTGTTTTCACTTGTATTACAAAATTAGCTCTAAGTAGACAATGGTTTTTAGACTGGAGTGAGAGAGTGTTCTCATTGGTGTATCAGTAATGAATCTTCTAGAGAAAGTGGATGGCTATTCTCTGAGACTTGGCTGGATGTACTGGGAAATCCAGATGAAGCCAGATTTATTTTAATTCACTTCAGCCTAGAAGACACTATTACAGCTTAAAACTATTTCCATCTATTTGGCTAACAGCAAAGTAGGTGGAGGCTGGCACTTTTAGGAAAAGGCAGAACTGGGGAAACTTTCCAGCAAGTTTGTCAAAGGAATGTTAGCATGTTTCTCTGAGACCCTCCGGCCTTCTGTATCACAAAGTCCAAAATGACAAGAGGAAAGCAGCAGAAGCTGAGCAGGCCAAAGGGCACTTCCCCAGAGTGAGTGCTGGTGGTGTGTCTGCACAGGGCCCTCTGCCATCACTACAGACTAGCACCTTCGCCTCACCTGCTACCCTCCACTCCTTCCCATGGACCTGAAACTACTCAACAAAAGTAAGACAGCTATCTATGGCAATTAATAGGACCAATTGAATAAAAGCAAATCCAGTTTTCTTATTCTTTCAAAGTATAGATGTGTTAAAAAAAATAGAGGGTCCCTTTCCTAGGAGAGCTTTTTCTTAAAGAAGTAAAAAAATAAATAAATAAAAATGGACTTAAACAAGAAAGAAAAAATTACAACACTGTTTTCAACTAACACCAGGAGTTTTTCTTTCTCAATTCAGAGTGCCTGGTCTTATTAATAAAAGTATTATTTTTTTGATCTTTGTTCTCATCATTTCTGCTGGTCTTTGCCTCTCCCCCCCGAACGTTTGATGGCCTGAGCCCTGCTCTGCACACTTGTCTCCTGCCAGAGAAGAACACACTTGTTTTGTGTGTTCAGAATTTTAATGTTCCGCTACATTTGATTTTTGTCATGTGGAATGAACCAGGAATTTAATTTGTAAATGGATGTTTGTATTATTTTAAAAAGTAATTATGTGAATGTACTAAAATAACTAGGATAATGAGGGATCTTCTCCCAGTAGAATCTACTGCTGAGGGGCTTTTCTCATTGTCTCAGTTTCAGTCATTGGACCTAGACCAGGTGAAAGTCAGGCCAAAGGCTACATCATTATTGATCAATTCACATTAAATTAACATAAACTTTTCTTTTTTAAAATTTATTAACTTCACAAACTTTTTTCTTTTACTCATCACCTATTATTAGCCCCCCTAAAGCATATAGCCCCCTGCTTTCCCAAAACATGATCTCTTCCTTTCAAAACCAAGAAAGCAAGCAAACAACTTTATTGAGTGAAAATGGAGTTGCTTTAAGTGTCTGTCCATTCTTAGTGAACCTAAAAAAAGTATGTAGTAATCACCAAAATCTGGTTTTAGAACATTTCCATTACCCGCAAAAGACACCTCATGCCCGTTTGTACTTACTTCCTATTCCTATCCCAGTGGACCCCTAATCTTTCCTCCTCTATATGTAAACTAGAGGCCTGGTGCATGAAATTTGTGCACGGGAGGGGTGTGTCCCTCAACCCAGCCTACACCCTCTCCTATCTGGGACACCTCAAGAGATGTCCTACTGCCAGTTTAGGCCCGATCCCACCAGGACTGCTGGCTCCCAACTGCTTGCCTACCTGCCTTCCTGATTGCCCCTAACTGCTTCTGCCTGCCAGCCTGATCACCCTAACCATGCCATGCCAACCTGATTGATGTCTAACTGCTCCCCTGCCATCCTGTTTGCTCCCAACTTCCCTCCTCTACTGACCTGGTCACCCCTAACTGCACTCCCCTGCAAGGTTGATTGCCTCCAACTGCCCTCCCTTGCAGGCCTGGTGACTCCTAACTGCCCTCCCCTGATGGCCATCTTGTGTCCACATATAGGCAGAATATTTGACCACATGGGGGCAGCCATCTTGTGTGTTGGAGTGATGGTTAATTTGTATATAACTCTTTTATTAGATAGGATAGAGGCCTGGTGCACAGGTGGGGGCCAGCTGGTTTGCTCTGAAGGATGTCCTGGATCAGGGTGGGGGTTCCCTTGGGGAGTAGGGTGGCCTGAACGAGGGGCTTGTGGTGGTTTGCAGGCCAGACACGCCCTTTGGTGACTGAAACAGAGGCCCTGGTATTTGGGGTTTATTTACCTTCTGCAATTGAAACTTTGTAGCCTGGAGTGGAGCCAAGCCTCCTGCTCATTCTGTGGTTGCTGCCATTTCTGTTTGGATTTTTTTACCTTCTATAATTGAAACTTTGTAGCCTTGAGTGGAGGCCTACACCAGCAAGGGGAGGTGGAAAGCTTGGCTTCCTCCATTGCCTGGGAAACCCAAGCCTTCCTCCTGCTCTCTATGTCTATAGCCATCTTGGTTGGGTTTACTTGCATACTCGCTCTGATTGGCTGGTGGGTGTGGCTGGTGGGTGTAGCAGAGGTATGGTCAATTTGCATATTACTCTTTTATTAGGTAGGATTGCTTTGTCTTTTCTGGCATTTTCTTTTAGGCACTGATATTGTGCATTTCTAGTACTTGCTTTATCTAAAAGTATGTATGACGGCATCTGCTCTCTTTTAGGGACATTCAGCTGAAATCATCTCCTTGTCCTTTAACACTTCAGGAGACAGAATCATCACGGGGTCTTTTGATCATACAGCTGTAGTGTGGGACACTGTGACTGGCAGGTATATAGATATATATATATTTAAATTATTGTTTGATTTTTCTTAGAGAGAGAGAGACAGACTTAGATATATGATAGATAGATAAATGATAGATAGATAGAAACAATGATTTGTTGTTTCAGTTATTTATGCATTCATTTGTTGATTCTTGTATGTGCCCTGACCTGAGAGCAAACCTACAACCTTGGCGTATCAGAACAATGCTCTAAGAGAGCTACCTAGCCAGAACCAGTATTCTTAATTTTTAAGATTTTTTCCATCTCGATCAGAGGGTTAAGAAGACAAATCTTTGTTGTTTAATTAGTTTAATTCTAAATGTATTAACTGTGTTCTAGACTCTATAAGAATAAGACACACTTATGTATTTCATTTTTTAACCATATTTTTAATCCACAAAAATAATGTGATTTCTCAGAATTTTGAACAAAGAATGTCAATTAGCAACATAACAGAGGAATGTTAGCAATACCCTGGCTATATAGTGATTATTTATCTTTTGTACAAGTAATCAAATTTCAATGGCTTATCATTATGGTAGGCATGGATATCATGAGTAAATAAAATCACATCTAATTTCCTAAAATTTAATTTGGTACCAGAACTTCAGTTTCCTTCCTAATTATTTTTGGCTCTATTTTCAAAGAAGTTAACTAAGTTAGCCTATTTGTGTTATAAAACTCCACTCTTGAGACTTGTCTGTATTTTGATAGAAGGGTTAATCATTAAGGATACTCATCAGGGTGAAGTCTACAAGAGAGAGCAGACACTGACAGGTGGTTTCAGGGCTTCACGCATTTGCTGTAAGAACACTTCCAGGATTTCAGGCTACCTTTCTTTTTAACCTATGCCTTTCTGGTCTTATGTTAAGTAATATTGCTATCTTTGACTGTTGAAATGAAATTAGTAGTGGACTTTTTTTTGAGCTTTAGTAAAGCCATCTTTGTTTTGTCATCAAAGAGTTTATTTTGTAAAAATTAGAATTTATATCTTACACAAATAGGTTTGTCATAATTAATTATGCACATCTGCTGACGTCAGGCATCTTTGAATCATTTCCATTTTGCAGGAAGGTGTGCAACCTAATTGGGCATTGTGCAGAGATTAGCAGTGCCTTATTCAACTGGGATTGCTCTATGATATTGACTGGCTCTATGGACAAAACCTGCATGGTGAGCTCAAGAAATACCTTGGTTTTATAATTCTCATGTCTGCCTTCTTACTGTCAGATATTCATTGCAACATTAACAAATTTCAAAGGTGTTATAAAATTAAGATATTAATTTATAAATAATAATTGATGTTTTTAATTTTAAGTTTTTGATCCTTCAAGTTTAGAGACATTATGATGTAGTAAGACAATTTTAATGGATTCAAATATATTAAGAGGTATTATTTTTTAAAAGGCACATTCTTTTTGCTTAAGTCCCTCTATTCATTGATTAAACATTGATTAGAGTGAAGCTCAAGAAGTTTTAACCAGTGCCTTCCTGACTTTAAGTTTCTGTTACTAAGAGCTTATACTATGGAATTATTTAATTATGTATCAAATGTATTATAATCTTAATGAACTTCACATTTCCTGGCATTGTAGTTTTAGATCAAACTTCTTGATATTGACACCTTTCTGATGAAAAGAGGACACACAGGTTGAAGTGCACACTTGGAGATTTTTTCCTAATGTGCTATCAGATTTGCACTACCTGATCTAAGTGTCTGCATTTGGTCTCCTCTGTGTCCAAAGTGTGCCTTTTAGCTGGTTGGCTGTGGTAGCTTGTCAGAATCAGGGTAAAATGAACAGAACATGTAAAAATCATGCACATGATTTTGGCACAGTTAATTCACACCATAAGAATGATATAAAGAATACTTCTGGCCGTCTTTGCATTTTGGACCAGAAGTTACAGTCCTCATCTTCTTCCCCTTCCTCCTCCTCCTCCCCTTCCTCCTCCTCCTCTTCTTCTTCTTCTTCTTCTTCTTCTTCTTCTTCTTCTTCTTCTCCTTCTCCTCCTCCTCCTCCTCCTCCTCCTCCTCCTCCTCCTCCTCCTCCTCCTCCTCCTCCTCCTCCTCCTCCTTCTTCTTCTTCTTCTTCTTCTTCTTCTTCTTCTTCTTCTTCTTCTTCCACTTCCCCTTCTCCTTCTCTCTCTTCCCCCTCCCCCTCCCATTCCTCTTCCCTTCTCCTTCCCCATCCTCTCTCCTCCTCCTCCTCCTCCCCCTTCTTCTTCCCTTCTTCTTCTTCTTCTTCTTCTTCTTCTTCTTCTTCTTCTTCTTCTTCTTCTTCTTCTTCTTCTTCTTCTTCCACTTCCCCTTCTCCTTCTCTCTCTTCCCCCTCCCCCTCCCATTCCTCTTCCCTTCTCCTTCCCCATCCTCTCTCCTCCTCCTCCTCCTCCCCCTTCTTCTTCCCTTCTTCTTCTTCTTCTTCTTCTTCTTCTTCTTCTTCTTCTTCTTCTTCTTCTTCTTCTTTCTTCTTCTTTAAATAATTGCAGTTGTGGGATGCTACAAGTGGAAAATGTATGGCGACATTAACAGGCCATGATGATGAAATACTAGACTGCTGTTTTGATTACACTGGAAAGCTTATTGCAACTGCTTCAGCTGATGGTAGGTCATCTGTTCATATATTTAACTTGTGGAGGGACTTATGCTTTATTTAATAAATGAGTGATTCTACACTGTAGGTCATCCCTCGATGGCCAGCTATCAATAGAAACTGTATCCCTATGATGCCACTGTATGTTACTACACTATGTCTGTATCATATCGTTGATAACCACATGTAATGCTATGCAATGTCTACATCACCTCCATGATGACCACTTATGATTTTATACTAGGTGTTTATCATCTCCTTAATAACAGTATATAATGGTACATTCTGGGTCATCTCCCTGATGTCCATGCACTATGCAATACAATGTCAGTCTCAGCCACTTGACCACTGTCAATGGTTTTACAATAAATCTGCATTATCTCCTTTAAGACCACATGTGCTGTCCACTATGTCTAGCAAATCTTTATGATAAACATATATAATGCTCTGCTATACATCATGCTCATGAGTACCACCATGATTGTATACTATGTGTTTCTTATTGGCAATCATAAGCTGGTGCTACACGATGTGCCTCAATTTCATGAATACCACATATGATGCTACAAAATATCTATGTCATTTCTCTGTTGATCACATATGCCATTATATTATTTTGCTGGTGATTCATTTTAGCTACCCAATTTTTATTTCATCATTGACTCCCTTTTAAAATTACATTTGCTTACTTATTCTCTTGCTGGGCTTTTCAAAGGTAATTCTTTGACATTACCTATAAGTTATTTTTATATCTTGGAATATATACCCTGTGAATCTGGACAATTTTATTTTTCAAGTAATTACTTTTTCATTTTCTCACAGATCTTGGCTTTTAAAATCATCTTTCAACTGTAACTAATTTGCCCTTTTCATTTTTAAATATCATTCTCATTTATACAAAAAATCCATATATATATATATATATATATATATATATATATATATATATATATTAATACCTACTTTGTGCCAAGAAAAAAGAGTATCATCAGTGAACAAAAGAGAGAAATCCCTGCCCTCATGGAGGAGACAATGACCAATGCCATACATATGTTTTATGTGGAATGTTAGATTAAACAGAATGTTAGATTGTACAGTATGTTAGGAGTTGGTCAGTGCTATGGGGGACAGGAAACAAGTAGGGCTAGAGGATCACGATAGATGAGAATAAAATACAAGCTTGATTCTTCTAGTTTTGTTTTTTCTATGATCTGCTTTTTTCACTAGAAAAGTATTAGACCAATTTCTTTATTTATCTCTGGTCTTTGCTCCTCATTTCCTTCTTAAAATTGAACCTGCCAACAAAATGAGTTACCTGGGCAGCTACATCTGTTCTTATATATTACTCTTTCCTTCCTTTTTGAAATTATGCTCAAGGCTTATTTTTTAAAATTTCATTCATATTTCAATCTTTTTTTTTAAATTAAGATTTCATACTATCTTATTTCTGTGTTTTCTGAAGATTATAATAGCTTTTGTGCTACTTCAGAGTATTACACTATGTAGGATATTCCTTTTTCTATTATTAATAAACTCTTTTTTTTTAAAAATATATTTTATTGATTTTATACAGAGAGGAAGGGAGAGAGATAGAGAGTCAGAAACATCGATGAGAGAGAGTCATCGATCAGCTGCCTCTTGCACACCCCCTACTGGGGATATGCCCGCAACCAGGGTACATGCCCTTGACCGGAATCGAACCCGGGACCTTCCAGTCCCCAAGCCGACGCTCTATCCATTGAGCCAAACCGGTCCCGGCTATTATTAATAAACTCTTAAAACAAGTTTGTCACTTTCCTTTTAGGCATTTAAAATGTCCTAAGGAGCAAGTTTTTGTGCACCAGTGGGGTCCCTTGGCCTGGCCTGTGGGGATCGGGCCGAAACCAGTTCTCTGACATCCCCTAAGGGGTCCAGAATTGTGATAGGGCACAGGCCAAGCTGAGGGACTCCACTGGTGCATGATCAGGGTTGATGAAGACCAACTGGCCAGGAAGAGACTGCAGGAGGTTGGTTGGCTGGGGAGAGATTGAGAGAGGGCTCCACAACATGTCTGGCCCATCTTAACCAGTCCTAATTGGCCAGACCCCAGCAGCAAGCTAACCTTGCAGTCAGAGCATCTGTCCCCTGGTGGTCAGTGAACATCATAGCAACTGGTCAAAGAGTGAATCAGTTGACCAGACACTTACCATATTAGGCTTTTATTATATAGGACTAGAGGCTCAGTGCATGAAATTTGTGTACACGAGCATGGAGTGGGAGTGGAGGATTCCTCAGCCAGGCCTGCACCCTCTTGCAATCCAGGATCCCTTGGGGATTTCCAACTGCCAGTTTAGGCCTGATCCTGCCTAAGCCTGAAGTCAGACATCCCTCTCAAAATCTGGGACTGCTGGCTTTTAACCACTCTGCCTGCCTGTCTGATCACCTAACTACTTGCCTGCCTGCCTGATCGCCCCTAAACATTCTGTCTGCTTGCCTGATTGCCCCTAAACACTCCATCTTCCTGCCTGATCACTCCTAACTTCCCCTGCCTCAGCCCTGCCACTGTGGCTTCATCTGGAAGGATGTCCAGAAGGCTGTTCAGCTGTCTAGTCTAATTACGCTTTTATTATTATAGATTATATTAATTCTAAAATAGCAATTTTTCATCATGTTGTCTACTGCCTCCTGAGTTGACATTGTCAGAAAGGTAAGTAAAATATTAAAATATTTTGCTTATATCTGAATGAAAATTGTGTCCAAAACAACCTTTTCTTGATAATTTTACTCTATGTAATGCTATAATTTGCAATAAGAAAGTATCCTTTTTCTGGCCTGACAAATGTTAACTTTTTTTCTGACAACAATTGCATTAGTGCTGTTTTTTTCTCTTCTATGCTTATTTAACTCTGCCACTTTTTAATTCTAAAAACACATGTATTTTTTCTTCTATTTATCTATCCATCCATCCATCCACACTGCATCTATTTATTGAATGGTACTTCTAGGCACTGGGGACACAACAGGGAGCAAACCATTCTGTTAGCTCTTTCTGTTGAAAAGGATTTCTAGTATTTATTCTTTGTTCATTGAATGGCAACCACTGTTCCTTCTTAAAGTGGCTGCTCGTGCCTTCTGTGACCATAGACTCATATTAGGTATGATAGTAGGCTTTCTGCTTATTTCATCCCCAGCCTCTCAAGACTTGTTTTCATTCCCTCTTTCTCCTTTTAAATATTTTTTCATTCTGAGTTACTGCCTATTTGGCTTTTCTATCTTGAAATCCATTATCTCCTGTGATAAGCTCAGGCCTAGAGAGGCACTCCTCACACTCTTACCCACAGTGAGACCAGCTTGAATTTGAGTGGCTGGCTCTCATCACAGAAGACAAACTTAGCAGACAGCTGTGTGTCAGAGTGGTAAATGTTTAGATAATTCAAGGCATGTGGTTCAAAGTTCTGTATTTCAGATGAATTTATATATGTATCCCCACTCCCCTCAAAAAAGGAACAGCAAGAGTTTTCAGTGCAGCCACCAGAAAATGCATTACTAAGTTGGAAGGTCATGAAGGTGAGATTTCAAAGGTGAGTTGCTTTCTCATTTGGAACATTTTACTTACTTAAAAAAATGTTTAGTATAAGTATTGCCACTGAGCTACTAAGGTTTGTCCAGCTATCTCATTCTTTTTAGAAATTAGGTACCTAAGTACATTATTTTTAAGTGTGTCCTCACACTCAGTGTAATAAATCATTTCTAAAACTTTTCATAAACTATAAAAGTGTTTTCCTCAGCTATCAGCAAAAGATCTAGCTAGATGAAAATACTTATTAAAGCTATTTATGAAGCTTATGAAGTGATTTTCCTGGTTCTGCTGGACACACAAGGTTATATTGTGCAAAGAAAGTATCAAGTCTTCTATAAATTAGGTTCAGTTGAGGCAGTAGTTCATGGAAATATTTAACACTCAATAAAGTTTTAAAAGACCTATCTTAAAACTCTAAGGCAGTAGCTTAGAATTTTGTATTAATTTCGCCAAAATCTTATTCACAGAGCAGGGCCATCCAGGCTGTGATCTGAGGTTTAGATGTGTCCTCGAATATTTCTAGAGAAGGCTGGGACTTGATGACTCTCACCTCCTAGCACAATTCCTTGATCTCAGGTCAAATTTGCCCCTTCCTTGTAAAATATCAGCTTCACAGTTTCTAGTCTCTGAAGGCTCCACCTGGACACCAGAACCACCCCTGCCATGCTCTCTCCCTTCCTGCTGCTGGTGGCCATTGTGAGCATAGCAGGCCTGGTCTCCAAGAAAGTGTGGAGAACATTCTCTTCATAGGCTAGGAAGCTTTAGGAGCTGGCAAGAAAGAGAAAGGGCAAGTGTGGACATGAGAGATAGGCTGAGGAGAGAGCTGGGTCATATTTCTGAATGTCTGGCTTGATAGCTATCGACGTGTTTGGCATGTCCCACTCAACAATTGCACTTCTATTGTTGCATGAATCTGACTATAAAGAGTTCTAAATGTCTACATTATTGATTTTATGCTTAAGTGATATATTCTTGAATTGCCACCTAATAAGAGCATGTCTATGGAGTGCCAAACTAAGGTTCACATTCATTCATTCATTCATTCATACATTCAGCAAATGCTTTTTGAGAGCTTCCATTGTGCTAGGCATTGCTCTCTGCATTGGTGACACAGTGATGAGAACAAAGACATGGCTTTGCCTTTATCACACCTTCAGGCATGAAGGAGGTGGGCACCAATCATTGCCTTCTGATGATTTAGAGAAGGGTCTGAGCACTGTACCAAAAGGAATGGAAAACCAACAGTTCTCTTTGACTGCTGCTCATGTACCATTAGACAATGCCTGGCACATGGGAGACACTTAGAACGTGTTTATGGAAAGTGCTGCACTTTGAGTAGCAATAGTCAGAACTCCCTCTCTTGTAGGCCCTGATATTCACTTATTCTGTGATACAGATGGTGCTTTTGACCCCAGAAAATTTGGGTTGCAAAGGCAGCTTAGGGGTTTGGGTATAAAGGAGCCTGACTGGGGTTCTCATCTACAGCAGGGCCCTGCGTCTTTGCATGGAGAAGGCATCACCAGTTTTTGGAAAGAAATGGAATATTCAAACTATAAGAATACTTTAGTCTTTGTCTTAGAATTGTGTGTGTGTGTCGGGGATGGGGTTGGGGTGGGATGGAGAGGAGAGTGAGAATAGATAATATTTCTGTCCAGATTTTCCCCATCACAAAGGAACTGTTTTGTGTAAAAATAAATACCAGGCTGGGAATGTGATAGGTGCTTAGTGATGTCCCCTTTTTGCTGATTAAATTTGTTGGGAATCTTTACACAAACATGTCATGGTTTTTTTCTTTCTTTTTTGTAGATTTCTTTCAACCCCCAAGGAAACCGTATTCTAACAGGAAGCTCTGACAAAACGGCGAGAATCTGGGATGCTCAGACTGGCCAGTGCCTCCAGGTGCTCCGGGGGCACACGGATGAAATCTTCTCATGCGCTTTCAACTACAAAGGCAACATAATCATCACAGGTGGGGAGAGACCAACACCACAGACTTGTGTTTTATTTAAATTGGGTTGGTAGAGATGCCAAGTTGAATACCAAAAGGATTTCACCTTCATCCCTACCTCTCTTCTGGGGTCCCTGGCTCAACTTGGGGGAAAGAGGTGTTCTATAATATATCCATTATTTAATCTTAGTTGCATCGTGGAACCACAGGAATGAACTCTGCCACTGGCTGTAAGGCTCTGTGATTTTTGAATTTTAGTTGCTCTAGGCAGAGTAAGAATTCTGAACCTGCCTTGCTGGTTTCTGCATTCCCCAGGCATGGTCCGAATGGTTATTATCCAGTCCATGTCAGTTAGGTGTTAGTAACTAAAATAAGTTAGGACCACGGTTCTCCACAGTCAGGTTTTGGCTCATTAAAAATTTATTCTTTAAGCTTAGTTATTTTTTTTCCTTAATGTTCCCTGCTAACATACATATATTTGAGGGAAGGAAATAGCTATTAAGCACCCGTCAACCATTATCAAATTTATTGTGAATTAATTTGGCAACATTTTTGTAAGAATCGGTTTGAGAATAAATTAATTTAAATTGTGGGAAGGAGAGGAAAATGACAAGAATTTGGTCTGATGTCAGTGTGGTGCCTCAGGAGAAGGGTTGGCAGAGGTGGGTGCTACAACAGTGAGGGGCAGGGAAGCCCTAGGCAGGCACTAAGACCCAGTAGGCCTAACTCGCAGTGATTTTCACCATGTTGACTAAATTTAAGAATTGCTTCACTGTCTAATAAGTTCAATGTCGCATATGCAAGGTTGGCTTTGTATATTGGCTGCTTCGTAGTCATGTAACTTCAGGTATGCTGCAAATAATCTCCCCTTTGGTCTAAAATCCTCCCCCTTCTAAAAACCTCCTCCTTCTACTGAATTAATAAGTCCTCTAAAATTACTGATTACTTTCTGTGGGTTTATGGCTTTCAACTGTAACTTAACAGGTAGCTACTCCTAAGACAGGGCCATGAGAAGCCATGTATTTTATTGTGAACAGCAGGTCAGGTCTTTCCCCAGGACAAGGGCAGAGGTGGGGGCTGTGATGACAGGCACAGGGTGCTCTTCAGGGAACTTCTGGGAAGAAGGAGACTCAGCTAGGTTGGCAGAGGACCTGCCTTTCCTAATCCATGTGCTTCATGTGAGGCCAGCTCCCCGTACCCCATTCCTCACCCAGTTTTCCCAAAGTCCCAGGAGAGAGTGGGGAGGAATATTCATTATCTGTGCCTTGTTTTAGCCTGGCATTTAGATCCCTGAGATCCTTTAAATATCTTCTTGATTTATTTAGTGCACCCCAAAGCACCAAGGCCAGCTGGACGACAGAGCTTATTAGAACCGGGGTGACATGCTTGTCTTGCCCACAGCACAGCTGCCATTTTGTTTGAATTGATCCCCCTATTTTCATGGCTGACCCCAGTGTCCACCATGCATTTTTAATGGCACGCCTGAGGGTAGGTTTAGAAGCACAAACTGGAAGAGAATTGGCCAGCTTGGCCATTGCATTTTGAGAGTTAAGGTGTTTGTGGTGGAATGTGCAGTATCCACAGGCTTTCCCAATCCACGCAGCCCCACGCTTCCTGTGTTGATGTGACATGCCTGGCCTTAGAAGGAAACCATGCCAAAACTGTCCTTCCCATAGAGGGATGTGAAAGGCGACCCTCGGGGAGGGGAACTTCAGGTTGCTTCGGAAGAGTGCTGTCATAGAGGGGAGTGTAGGAAGGATGCAAAGTTCACATGTGGTGAACAAAGTTCACTAATGGTGAGAAACACTTGTTCACATGTGGTGAACAAAGTTCACATGTGGTGAACAAAGTTCACTAATGGTGAGAAACACTTGTTGACATTTTGATCTGCACTCCAGTGGTATGTACTGTTTTATATGCCAACACTCAAACCCGGGGATGTTCAAATTCACTGTGGTTCTCCCTGGTGACGATGCTTGAGGGAGAGCAGAAGGGATGGCTGGCATCTCAGGTCCCCTCCAAATATAACATACCATGAGTTTGCTGCTGTGAGTAAGACGTGAGCTTGCATGATTTAGTACTGACAGAATCATGCAAAATTAAAAAAAAAAGAAAAAAGAAAAAGAAAGAAAGAAAAAGAAAGAGAAAAAGTAAAAAAATTCCCATTCCAGAAATACTTGAGCTGAGCGTCTCATGGGCTTGGCAGCTGAGCCCAGAGAAACTTGTACATGTAGCTCATCAATAATTGATAGTGACCCAGAAAATGTCAACTTGTAAAAAAAGAGTGAAGGGAGTGAGATAAAGAAAAAATAACTTTGTGAAACGTGTCTTCATAGGCAGCAAGGACAATACCTGTAGGATCTGGCACTGACTGAAGGAGCCGCCGATGAGCACACTCGCTAGGGATGGGAGCAGGAGCCAGGCGTCGCAGATGGCAGGCACGCTGCTTTGATATTTCATGTTTTCTCCCCCCCTTTTCCCCCGCAAGTCAACTATTGATACACTGTCCTTCGCTTCACATTAACACTGATGAAGAGATATCATTTTTTTTTTTGATATTTTAATGGAGATGACAAGAAACAGCCTACTGTTTGAAAAGTGTTGCTGGTTATTTCAACTTTGTTTTTTTTTTTTTTTAATAGCTTCATGAGACTGATAAATGAAACCAGAGCAATTTAACAGCATGTCTCCTAGATTCTACTGTGAAGGTTGTTACTGTAATTTCTGTTAATAAAATATTCAGAGAAATTCTTTGTGAATTGTACAAAGATATTTAGGATGTGTTTTTAGGGGGACATATATGTTAAGAATGGGATTAAAAGTTTTATTATTTAGTTAGTTATTTTACTTTTTTTTTTTTTTTTTTTTTGTTGCTAAGAATGGATCCCATTTAATAACAGATATATTCTCGATTCATGGATGAAAGAATGTAGGTGGGTTTGCTTATAAAGAAAAGTTAAATGAATAGAAGTTCAGACTATTAAATATGAAGTATGGGTGGAAAATAATTGTGGTACCAGAGAAAATAAACACCAACATGATTGAAGCTGAATGTTTTATAAAAGCTGCTTTATGTAAAAGTACCTCAACACCTATTTTAATGGTAAAAGAAAAAACACTGGATAAAACCAGAGCAAGAGAATCGAAAGAATGATTTTCTATGAAATAAAAATAGCAGGCATTGTGGCTTACTGTGTGCCAGACATTGCCCAACCACGTATGTGTATTATCCCATTTCTTCCTCTTAGCAGATAACAGTCCTGACTTTAGCATGAGGAAGGTGAGTCAAGGATATCCAGATATCAGGCAGTGAAGCTGGACTCAGAGATTGACCTCCATAACACTGTGTTCTTAGGTGAACAAGGCTTACTTACGGGAGGAGAGTGTCAAGTCTATGAGTAGGAAGGTTTGGGGTGAGAATCACCTTTCAGATCATCTATGGATGTTTAACTCTCAAGAAGAAAAAAAAATAAAAACAACATAAATAAAATTTCCACGCAGTTGCTAGAGGAGGAGGTTCAGAAATGAAGACAAAGAGAGCTTGAGTTAAAGGAAAGTAGATGAAAATTTTGCTACTTTTAAAACTCTAAAGAAGCAGCAAACACTGAATCCTCCCCACTGTCTTTGATGACTTAGGGAACGAGGTAGTACCATTTTGTTTCATCACTCCAAAGAGTCTGCCAACATGTGGTTACAGAGAGCATCCTGTGGCTCATGGACCAATTTAGGCATAGGAAGCCCTTGGCCAGAAAAATGGCTTGTTCCTCTAATTTTTATGTAATGAATAATTTTTATAGACTATTTATGAAGGTTTACAGATATCCCAACGTACTTAAAAATAAGTGTTTAAATACTTAATATTATTTAAAAGAAACCTATAATATACAGTTTCCTGTTCATTCTCAGCCAGTGGGTAGTGATGATATTGGCTGGGAGGCACTCACCCCAGCATGTACTGCTAGTGGCAACCGCAAAGGACTTCCTCACCTGGAGCCAGTGTGGCTGGTCTAGCCATTGGGGTTTTTTATGATTGCAAGATGCACCTCAGCAATAGCCATCTGGGAGAGGGAGGAAGGGTGGGCAGAATTCGGCTAATCCCTTTTTTAGGGGCAAGTGTGGGGTGCCTGAGGTTTTGTGGGTTCATTATTGGTGAATTTAAAGAGTAAGCATGGAATTAGTGCATAGAAAGGAAATGTGGGGTTACTCAACCAGTCAGTTATCCAAGTTGCCCCAAAAAGGAAACCTCATGGGTGGGAGAGGCCTGCTCCTCTTCTAGCTGTTTAGCTAGTAGCTGGGTCGCACAGCTGGTGATGTTTATTCCAGATGGATGTCTTGGAAATTGATGCCTGGGCAATGCAAAGCTTAATGTCACCCACTTACCGTGAGAAAGCTTATTGTCAGGCACTTACACTACAATAAGAAAGCTATTGTCAGACACTTACACTGCCTATACCCACTTTATTTTCCTCTGAAGTATTGTAGGGTTTCATGAAGTATGTATGGGGTCTGGAGTCAGGTTGCCTGGATGTATATTCTGTTTTCAAACTCTTAATTGTTGGCAAGTTACCTCTCCATTCTGTCTCAGTTTTCCTCTCTGGAAAGTGGTAATAATACTAGTTCTTGTTTGTAGGAATGCCCAGAACCTAATAAGCATGGTGGTAAATGTTTGCCATTATTCTTATGCTCAATAGTTAGCAGTCATCTTTTTAAAAATTGTGTTTCCTATCTAGACAAAGTTTTCAGGAAGGAGCACAGTATTATTTACTCATAAATTATGGTTGAACTATGTATCTTAGGGAGAACTGTAAATTGAGCTTTTATCAATGAAATTAAAATTTAAGGGCCCTGGGGAAATTTTTATTTTAAAGGTCCTCTGTCAAACAGAGGAACTGGGATGTAAGATGATCACTCTAGATGATTATGGTCTAATCCATCTCCATATATTTAGACTTCATATAGGATTTTATGAAAGTAGATCATTATAAAAATGAAATATATTCTCTAACAACTCATATATAAAACTCAGTAGCTTGTGATTAAGCATAATGCCTGATTAAAAGATAAAATACATGCTTTTTGAACTGAACAATGCTTTTTTTTACACATAAATCTTACATTGTCATGTAAAAACACACCATCATCTTTTAATTAAAATTATAAGTGAATTTATTATATTCTGTGTTTCCCACTGCTGCTTTTACCCTTAAAATAATTTACCTTTTTAGATCTCCAAAGAGAGAATATTTGAAGTAAAAAAAAAAAAAAAAAAAAGCTGCAATTAAGATATTTAAAGACATAGTCTTCAAAAGCAAGGAATTATAAACTGACAAAAATATCTATAATCTTTTTCGTTATCTTACAAGATTACTTTTTGATTTTGTTTAATTCAGCTTCACTGTTATCTGGGTTGGGATGGTATGGGCTACAAGTAACAAAATGCATAATCAGAACAAGGTCAGTCCCAAAGTTTTCTATTCAGTGGCTAGTTGACTTAAGCATCTGGGATTTGGGGGCTTTCCCTCTGCCCTCCTTGTTGGCATCTGTCCTGCGCATCCTTCTTAGTTGCCAGATGGTTAACACATTTTTCTACACTTGATCTTAGCCAAAAGGCCGAGAAGCGATGAACACCGTTTTCTTAGTTTTAGCATATTGGCATCTCTTTTTACCTCATCAAGTCCAGGAGAGGGCTTGCTGCCCCTCCTGTTTCCATTTGCCCCATCATTTTAGCAGTTGTAGCCCTGCTACCAGTGGAATCATCTATCACTTTGCCCCTTTATTTTTTCTCTATCTGCCCACCAAATCATAAACATTTTACTTAGCTAAAAAACAAATTTTAGCTAGCTCATCTTATTGCCATTTTAATCTATCATCTATAATTTAATTATTCCCCCCCCCCCCACACACACAAAACAATCTTCTAGTTCTTTACCTTGGCTTTCTTTGCCCCACCAGATACTTTCTTTCTAAAATACAAAGAAAAATATATCCAAACATTTCAAGATTTGCATAAATTAGTTCATTTGGTAAGATAAATAAAATAGGACTTAATATAGCCCTAATTTAGAGATGATAAAACTTGCTTGGGAAAGGGAGGGTGGTTTTCCCAGGATCATTTGGCCAAATGATCTGAATGGCCAGACATGAACTCAAACCTAGAAAGGCTGTGTCCTACAAATAGCCCCATGAAGCTTTTAAATGGTGATGGGCTGCCTATGAGTTTTTCCATGAGATTATGCACTGTCATGTTTGGTTTTTCTTTTGGTCTGCATTCCTTTTGAATGTCTTGAATAAATACATTTTAAAAATAAACATTATGAGGCATGGGGCTTTATTCCAATTAATAAGAGTTTGATTTTTGTATATTTGTTGTGCATCTAATTATTTTGTAATCTAGTCCCAGTCCCAATTCCAAATTCACTCTTATCCCAGCAATTATAGCAGATTAGAAATATTTCTTGTAAACATCACAGACACTAAATAAAGAGGTAAAAAAGAATAGCTTTTGGTGATATAAAGAAACAAATGCTCAGATTCTTATTGTTCATATAACAATGTACATAGTGAAAAGGCAGATACAATAATGACCTAGGAGCTGCATTCAGTGCTAGAAGGCCTGTGTGAGATTATAAAAGCAAGCTGCTCATTTGAAACTGGAAGATTTTCTTCCCTGTAACAACAGCCACAGTAAGAGGAGGCTCCACTCATTATTATCACGGAACTTATTTCACAAGTGCAGGTGTTGGGAATCACTCTTTCCAAGACAAACACTCCTCCTAAGACAATGGAAACAAAGACAAAGACCTAAGTTTATAACAGGCCTCCTATATATTAAAATATGTACTAGCAATTGCTTAATAAAATAGCCTAACCTTAACATAAAGACATATAAAATGAAGAATCTGAAACAAAAGCATTAGAAAATGTACAGGAAAAGAGACCACAAAGCCAGAAAAATGAGTTAATTTTGTTTATGAAATTGATGGTTTATTAGATGAATATACTTAAACAATAACACTATAGGATTTTTTTTTCCTTTCTGATTTATGTAGCTGTGTTCCTGACTCTGAATATTTTTTTGAGTGGTCATTATTTATTACAAAGGATAGCATTTTTAAATTCAGTTTGTTAAATCCAAGGCAAGTGATCAATTTTCCTGGTTTTTACAGTATTGTACAGGTTTTTTTTTCCCCTCTTCATTTTCAAGAGACCAATTGCATTAGTTATCATACTAATACTCATATGTAAATATTCATATATTTTTTCATTGGGAAAAAGACAGAAGCCATACAGATATTGGTGTTAGCTCACTGGGTATATTTGAGATTGGATTATATCTTTCAACAATCATTTATTGTTTCTGAGACTCTAAGC